TTTGTTTTTGCGAATGTATTGTAACAAAGCAAAAGTACAAAGTATGTTTAATAATATTTGCTATTATTTGAATAGTATCAAAACACTTCCAAATTTGTGGCCAAAATCAGAATAATCAAAAGTATGTTTTTGTCACTATATCAAAATACTGTTAAAAAAAAATTCTTTAAATTTTAAATTTTTAAAAATTTAATTTTTTAAATTTGTAACATTTTTTACTAAACGTACTTTCTAGTTTTTGTTTCCAAAAGTCTTATAACAAATTTACATTAGGAAACAAATTTTGAAATATTGTTGAACACACTTCAAAGCATAAACATAAACATTACTTCTATTTCGTGTCAAAGCAAAAATACAAAGTAATTGTGATCGCCAAATCCGCCCTAACTTGAGTACGTGAGGCTTATTATACACAAACCATAGCGGCTCATCAAGGAAAGTAAAAAACCAAACCGTCTCTCTCCCTCACCAGTCATCAAATCCTCAGGCAATCACCATCAATCGACCACAACCTTCAACTAAGGGTGTGTTTGGATAGTATTAGTAATGAGAGAAAAGAAAAGAAAAGAAAGGATAGTATTAGTGAGAAAAGAAAAGAAAAGAAAAGAAATGATAGTAATAATTTCTATTAGTGTTTGGATAGATAGGAGAGAAAAGAAACGAAGTGATAGTTATTTGTGTTTAGATAAGATAGAGGAGAGAAAAGAAAAGAAAGGATAATAGACAAATTACTTTTTTACCCTTTCATAACCATGGGACTTGAATGGAATAATAAATCTGTCTATTGATTTGTGGAGGATAATTTTAGTATTATCAAAATACCACTAAAATCACTATCCTTTCTCTCACTATCTCTCCCTATCTTCTCAATTTTGAGGAGAAAGCAAATGAGAGATAGGGAGGGATAGCTATCCCTCCCTATCTCTCCTTATCCCTCCCTATCCCTCCACTTAAATTACCCAAACACAAAGTTACACCATCCTCTTTTTTCTTTTCTCTCCCTATCCCTCCAAATCAACCCTACCAAACACACCCTAAAAGATCGGTGATTCGGCTTCATCTCTCTTTGCCATCTGGTTCGATAAGATCTCTCCGTCTCTCTCTATATCTCCATCCTCACTGGCTCATGCCCTCACTCGTCTTTCTTTTTTTACTTTAATTTACTTCTTTTTGTTCATTTAGGGATGTTGTATTGATGTGGTCAGTGCAAGTTTTATTGCACGATATTATTATTGTTTTTGATGTGTTTTGACTGTCGGGTGTTCCTGAATTTGAGTTAAATATATTGTTTCTGTAACAGATGGATGTTTAAATCGATGATATAAATCAAACATACACGTAGACAGTCACAGAAACAATGGATTTTTATTATGAGTGAACACTTTTTTCCATGATTTAATTGGACGCGAATGCATATTGATACTGGGATTATTGAAACTGTGATTATATGATTTTGCTGCAAATTTGTGGGTCCAAGTGTTCATTTGTATGCGCATGCTTGTTCGGTTTAAAGCCCTTATTTTTTGTTCATTTAGGGATGTTGTATTGATGTGGTTAGTGAAAGTTCTATTACATGTTAGTGTTTTGAATGATGGGTGTTTCAGAGATTGGGTGTTGTATATATATATATATATAGTTTCTGTCCAACACAGATTTGTACGAGTAGATTTTTGTTTCATTAATTGGTAGTCTATCAATTATTGTTCGGAAGTTTATGGTACAATACTGAAATGGCTATCCAATAGTAGACATGTTTCCTTGTAACTATTATCACAGTCATATGGAACTTTTTCTAATCTATGTTTTCTTCATTGTTTTGTCAGAATTCACACAATTTAAAATCTTTTCAATTTCTTGAATGTGGAAACAATGTAAATTAGTGGTTAACTGGTTAAGTCAGTTGGATCATTGAACATTAATCTCTGTATGCAGTTCTGGCATAAACTTAAAATCAACCTTCTATTTTGCTTTCAGATAGACTCTGGTTAATTATTTAGCAATGGCTGTCACATTCTACAATCTCAGCTCGGAGTCTGGTCTCAAGAAGCTCGACGAGTACCTCCTTTCACGTAGTTACATCACAGGGTGAGTTCCATTGCATTAATTTTGCAACACATTTATGTGTGTGGTAAATTATTTACTGATGTGTATTTTTATCTTATATAACTAACTCGACTCCTTGAGTATGAATTTTTTGATAATCTGTTTATTCACCCTTTAAGGTACCTAGCTTCAAAGGATGATATCACTGTGCATGCAGCTCTTTCAAAACCTCCATCATCTGAATATGTGAATGTGTCTCAGTGGTTTCACCATATTGAAGCACTTTTGAGGATTTCGTAAGTTCTTGCTACCAATATGACTCTCTTAATTGTTATGAAGACACTTCAACAAAAAATCATTATTGTGAAGATATTATAGCTTGGACGTACCATCATGTTCTACGGAATTTCAATTTTCTTAATAAATAAAACTCAGTTATTTTCTTTAATACTGCTTCTTATCGAGTTTATGGAATTCTGGCCTTGCAGCGGTGTTTCTGGTGAAGGTTGCAGTGTCACTGTAGAGGGTTCAGCTCCTATCACCGAGGAAGCCGTCGCAACTCCTGCTGCTGTTGACACTAAGGCAAGTTTCTTGAGCTGTTTGTTTAATGTTGTACACATTGTTCTGATTGTATTTTTGTGTGTGTGTGTGAGTGCCAGTTTATCAGCTTTTATTGCTCGGTTTTATATACTTCTTTCTAGTCATGCTGCTTATTAGTCTGATATCTGGAGTTTTATACTACCCAGAACATTTAAGCAATTTTAGTGCCTTTCTAGAGTTGTTAATAAATAATCATTAAGAATTGAATCTTAATTCTTTGTATGGAACATGTGTTTTAGGCCTCAGCTGCTGAGGATGAGGATGATGATGATGTGGATCTCTTTGGTGAAGAGACTGAAGAGGAAAAGAAGGCTGCTGAGGAACTGCAGCTGCTGTGAAGGCATCTGGAAAAAAGAAAGAACGAGCACGGCTTCGATTCGACGGGTCGAATACCAAGGCGATACGGACCTGCAACTGGAATGGGTCAATGTGTACTACAATAAAGCCAGCTGTGGCCGGTTCGTCCCACGCGCCGTCCTCATGGACCTCGAACCAGGCACCATGGACAGCGTCCGATCCGGGCCCTATGGTCAGATCTTCCGACCCAACAACTTCGTGTTCGGGCAGTCTGGTGCCGGCATTAATTGGTCCAAAGGTCACTATACTGAAGGGGCTGAGCTCATCGATTCTGTTCTTGATGTGGTTCGGAAAGAGGCGGAGAATTGTGACTGCCTTCAAGGTAATATAATTATATTCTTCTTTTTGTGCTTTTAGAAAGCTTTTGTAGTTGTTATTTTTTTCGTTTGCTTGAATTGGTTGATTCAATTGTTAGTGATTTTTTTCCCAGTATTAAAGCAATTTATTCAGTATGTGTAGTGTAGATCTGATGATCGTTGTTGATTTGCTCGTTGATTCTACTCACCTTTTGTGATGTTGATTTGCATTTTTACACAGTTAAGTGTACTCCTTACTCGGTTGATATGAGTGTAGCGTGTGCGCTAGTAATGAACTACTGTGACTGTTTTGATGTGATTTAGATTATTATTTGTGAGTTTAGTGAAGTTTCATATGCTATTTGTGAAGTATATTGATCCTTGTCAGGATTATTTTGTATGTTGCTGTGCAGAGTCGTCCTATATACTGTTTTGTGTTCTGATTGAAGGTGTATACACCAATTTATTTGTGGTTTGTATGCCACTGACCTCTATTTTCCATTGATCTGTTGTCATTGACATTTCACAAGATCTATTCAACCTTGCTGATCCTGATCCCCATGTTAAGGTTAGTGTACTGAAATAATGTAAAATTCACTTTATTTTTTGCTTAATTATCCTTCAGCAAAGCATTAGAAGTGTTTTTTTAATATTTCAAATGGATCTATCATTTTTCTTGTTTCCTCGGGTTCTTGTTTTGCTTGCCTTTTACCCTCTGTTTATTTTGTTGTAAAACATTTTCATTTAGCATTTTGATATGTTTGGTTGACTGTGTAATGATTTATGCCATACTTGATAAAAATGAAAATACTTTAAACCTTGAGAAATAACTTATTTTTTTTATTTTTGGTAAATAATTTCCCAAATTTAAGTCATTTTAAACAAAAATCATGTACGAGTATATGTTTTATAGACATATACATGCTTGGATATACACTAGCATAGTGCTTGTTAACCCGCACTACATGTATTAGTGCTCACAGAGACACACATATACCAGTGAGATTATATTAGTAGCCTCAAAAAAATTCTCCCATTGCACTTGATTGTAATTATCTTTAAATAAAACATGTGTCCTTAACATATTCTCATGTTTCACAATTGTTTCATCGACTCATTTCATTCATCCGAATTGGTGTTTATGCACTCTACTTTACTTAAACATATATATGCTCTAATACATGTCTCTCATCAACCTTTATGCATGCCAATGAAAAAATGTTTTATTTGTGCTTGCCTTTTTCTAAGAGTTGGTATGTTGTTATTAAAGTTTTAACCAAACACTGAAAAAAAGGAGGAAAATGATTCTTTTTAATATTTTCTGGTGTAAAGTTTTATTTCAAAAATAATGACAGTGATTTCCCATATAATTAGATTGGTTACCATGACAAATATAAATAAATTAAAAAATAAATTTGAATGTTATGTGTTATGTTGCCAATAGTGACACTGTAACCACTGCTATGCTAACTGGTAACAAGCTTTAGGAGAGTGGTTAGTTTATCCTAATAAAATTCTAAAATATATTGTTCTTAATCAACTTACATTGCTGCACTTTTTCAGCAACCAAACTAGAGAATAATTCAAGGTATCATTTCTAAATTTTTTGTTATGCACTTGTGCACTTCAAGATATCATTTCTAACCTTTTTTACTTTTTGTTCAAATTCTTTCAGGATTTCAGGTCTGCCTCTCTTTGGGAGATGGGACTGGCTCAGGCATGGGAACTCTTCTTATTTCCAAGATTAGAGAAGAGTACCCAGACCGAATGATGCTTACTTTCTCTGTGTTCCCATCACCAAAGGTTTCTGATACTGTCGTTGAACCTTACAATGCAACAATATCAATTCACCAACTTGTTGAAAATGCTGATGAGTGTATGGTTCTGGACAATGAAGCTCTCTATGACATTTGCTTCCCAACCCTAAAACTCACTACACCAAGCTGTAAGTTTATTCTCCTTTTTCTTATTGCCGTCACACTCTTTTAACATGACTGCACAGACTTGCCTTTTAGCTTTCTTGTCAATTTTGATTGTTTTTTTAAGTTCATCTTTCTTTTTTTTTTGAGAAGTAAAATTTCCAATGTGCTATAGCGAACTCTTTTAAGTTCATCTTTCTTATTGTATATTAATTAAATCTGGTCTAATGTATTCTCACTATCCTAGGAAATTATATGAGATGGTATAAAATGTGAGTAACGCTATTTAGACTTATTTGTATAACCAAGGAGTATAACCGAAGGAGATATATATACAGACATACATATATATATATATATATATACATATATATATATATATATATATATATATATATATATATATATAATTGAATGCATGAAACTTTTACCACTACCAAAAGGCATAAAATAATGACTTGGAATAGACATATATATATATATTTCCCTGCAGGTTAAGAACACAGACTTATAGCAATACTCTTAAAGTCTGTAAAAGAAATGGTAATGCACAAAAATAAGGCATTTCAAACTCAAGGAAATATACCTGCCAAATCAAAAGCTGTCCCAACGCATAATGATACTCAACAACGAAAACAGGGGCAGACCACGAAGTATTGATGGAACAGTTATGACATCCAAACAAGCACTTCATTAAAGATTAACAACTTACAATAATTAAATTTAGTCATAGCAGAGTGCTGATTTACATTAAAGCAGTATGTTAAAGTTTCCATGTACAAAAAAATTGTGCTCCTCACGCTAAAAATAGTGGTAGACAAGTCTATAAAGTCTTTCTTAAACCTCCCACCAAAAAAAGAGAGGAGATATTAGAAATGGAACTTCTGTGGCTAAAGTTTAACTATCGTACTAGAACTATCATTAATAATTTATCAGCTACTAGCCATTAGCAAAGAAACTTAATCAGTATTTAAAAAACAAGTATAATACCCTACAGATTTGCTCAATCAAGTTGTAATCACAACTAGAGATGAAAGAGGACGTTGATTCCAGAATCCGAGCAAGGCTAAATTGCTTTAAAAAATGTACCGAACACTTCATATAGTCTAATTACCTACATGGACAGCCGCGCCAACTCATTGAGAAACAATATTGTCGTAGGGGACACTAAAAGGAAGTATCTCTTTCATTTATGTGTCCGTAGCTCAAAATTAAATTTCATTATTTTTAGACTTAAACAAGTCTTGTGTAACACATTGCATATATGTAAAAAAAAGTCATCCCCAACAAATTTTGAAACGGGATCAACATATCTAAAAAGATGCAATTATTAGTACATAAAGTAATCAATAATCAATGTTAAATATAGTCATATATAATAGATGCACTACACTCAAATTAACTCAACAAAGTCTTTTTCCCAACTACTTGGAGTCGGCTCATCCCAAATTTTCAATTCCGCTTTATTCAAAGTCATAACCTCAGACTCTCATTCAAGCTACATGTTATCAAATATTTCGTTAGTAATTCTATACATGTTACCTTTGATCTTCCCCCACATTACCGTCAATGTGAATCATGTCATTCTTCCTAACTCACTCACTCAGTGGACTTCTTCTTTGCACACGTCCAAACCCATTTAGTACATTATCTCTCATTTTGTCTTCAATTGGTGTTAGTTTAACACTTTAACGGTCCCATGAATGTGTTCAGTCCTAATTCTGTCCTTTCTTTTCTGCACATCGATCATGACATTCGGATGATTGCCCCACTCATATTATATTGTTGTTTCTTAATTGCCTAGCATTCTATCCTGTAAATAACAATTGGTCTGTTAGTTGCTCTATAAAACCTGTCTTTCAATCTTAGCTGGATTTACAGATCAAACAAAATACTAAATGAACTACCCCACTCAACTTATCTTACCCTGATTACATCTAACATGCATTGGTTTTGACCCTCTCATGCCTTTCTTTATGGAACTACTATAACAGATTAAAATAAAATAAAATAACATACTAACGAGATTTAGTTATTAAGCAACGACCAATATATATTTCAATTGTAATATGCTTTTTATTTTTCGGTTATGTCTTTCAACTTCAAGTAGATATATGATACACTGTAATTTACATGATGGATCCTACACAGATTTTTTATTTTTTAATGACCTCCTATTATATAGATTACTACAATTTTAACTGTAAAAATTTAAAAACTTCATATAAAGAAGACCATTATCTAATGCAAGTGACTTCTATCCATGGCCATTGCTGAGAGAGGAAGACATGAGAAATAATTATCCAGTGTCATTATACAAAACATCCATATAAAAAAAATTTATAATTACCCGCAATTTAAATTTATGCAGCAAAGGTGATGCATTTATCAAGGTAGTCCAAACGAGAAGTTTTGAAAAATTTATCTGCTACAAGTTGCAATGTCAAGTGCTTGAGCTTGCTAAATTCAGCAAGTTGTTCGAATGCTGCATTAGCCAGAAAAGCATGACTTAATATTAATAAAAATATTTAAAAAGTCACTACCTAGTAAGTGAGATGTGGGGAGGATCGACTCGATCAAGATTCAAGACCTAACATTTGGTATAATTTTGTACAAAAAATATTTGCATCAGACTTGAGCCAAATTTCTAGAACTTGATGGTTCGAAGTTTAAACTCTAAACTCATCTATGGTTGAACCACGATGCAACTCCGTGACTTTGTTCACCCAACTTATTTACCTACATCTTTCTACTTCCAGTAACTTTGGATTCGATTCAAGATCAAAAATTTTTCGTGAAGCAACAAAATTTAGAACCCTGTGATATGACCACAACTGTTCCCATCTTTTTGAGAGTACACAATTGCGTCCTGCTTCTCTAATTCCCAGAAGAGACAGAACTGAAACAGTAATTTCATCAGGCAGCCAACTGATCCCATCCTCAATGTAGTTCTTACTCTGACGAACCAAAATAATATATATTTTTTATTTTTTATAATTAAAAAAACAATAAATAAGAATGCTTCGGCAAAAACAACATGCTAATCCAATTGGCCGAAAAAAAAAAAAAAAAAAGAGAGAGAGAGAGAGAGACAGACAAAATATAAATTTTGAAAGATTTATATATGCATATAAAATATTGTACCTCGTGCCTTTTCGTGCATTTAGAGGTCAGCCTCGTCGTTTTCCCCATTCAACCTGATGTTACAGTTGTTTTTGAAATTGGCATATAAATTGGTGATTTAATGTGTCAAAAATATCTTTTCATAATTTGGAGGGGCACATAAATTGATGAATTGGGGTACCGAGATGGTGTGAGAGGGTTTTGAATGTTAGGAGGGAGTGCAGAGTTCTGTTGAGGGTTCATTGTCCAGGATGAACAGTGGTGATGATGGTTGTGGGGTGGAGACGGCGGTGGTGGTGATTCATTTACCGAATTACGCATAGTGGTTATGGTGGTCGGCTGGTCGCTACAATGGAATCCATGGAGCCATCGTTGGCCATATATAGTTGCAGATCCACCGATTTCAAGGGTTTATTTTGGCTAGGAATAAAAGAAACTAAATTTGGGGTTTGTTAAGATAAATAATTATAATCCAAAACATGTATAATTAGTTAAAATTTATGTAGTTGTACCAAATTATAATCCACTTAGATAAATTTTGAAAGTAAGGAATTATGTCTACGTTTTATTAGGCAAGCAAATACGAAATCAATATTCTTCAAATCCTTACATGGACAGATGGTGCTTGAATATATATAGAGAGAGGGTCATTTTTGTCATTTAAGATTATGTATATTTTGTATTAAAAAAATTAAGGGTAAAAGGGTCAATTTGCATGTGTTGGAGGCTAAAAAGTAAATTGGAGTGTAAGCGAAAGTTAAAACCAAAATTTTCATCTAACTGAAAAATGACCTAACCTCAGGGAGTGTAGGTGTAATTTACCCTTTAAAAAATAACGTTGTCTTGTCAGAATAACATTGAATTCTTCGGTTATAAATTTGAAAACTCAATTTTACCGTTAGAATGCTTGAGAAGACATTTCAGTTCTATGTTGTACTAATAAAAGTATATTGAATATAATTGTCATTTTAGGCTTTTAATAAAATGACAACACTGATAGAAGAGGTACAATGTTATTTTGAAAAGTCTTTTTATTTAAATATTTTACAAGAAAAAAAAATTAGTATAATTAATCTTCTTATTTTTATCAAAAGTTTGTGTAACAAAATTCAAACGCTCACGTTGAGATTAATGGTCATCGGTGTTTATTGTTAGATATTACTTCTCATACAAATTAGTAAAGAAAATGCAACTCTGTTATGTATGACCAAATCAAACCATCAAACTAGTTCACATGATTCCCCAAACTGCCTACTCGAGTTTCACATCTCTGGAATCACAGGCAAACAATATCAAAATGGAAAACTGGAAAAAGGTATTATAGATTAAGAAGAGAGGAAGATATGATCTTCAAAGCCCAAGATCAAACTCCCAAGGTGAGGGGTTCAAAAATTGAAAAATGAAAAATCAGGTTCTGTTTGGCTGCAAGGTGTTTATGTGAGGGTTTCAATAAATTTCTAACTTTTCCACTCACCAAGGCTAAGTCAGCCAACTCCACACACCAACACTACCTCTCTCACACACATACACATCCACCCTCCACTTGTCACAATCCTATGGCTCCTCACAAGTCTTAATCTAAGCCAACAAGTGCACCAACCAAAAGTCTACAAGTGGCTGAATCTTCACCCTCCACATGTCATTATCCAAAGCACTCTTACAAGGCTTAATCTCAAGCCTACACTTGTCAACATCCCAAGCTAACAAGTGTTCCAATCCAATGCCAACAGTGGGTGAATCTACACTCAACACTTGTCACCAAAACAAGCTTCTCTCCACCTACATGCTTACAAGTGGTCCAATGAGAGTGTGACACTTGTCACACTTTTCAAAAATTGAAAAGTAGTCCTTCCCCAAAATATCTTGCAAAATAATCGCAAAATAATCCCCAAGACAAAAATAATTACAAAAATATAATCACACAAAGCACTCCAAAAGAGTAAATGTTTCCGGAAAAACTATGCATCCATACCCCTACAGAGAAAAGTAAACAAGTAGCATGCTTTTCTACAAAAGTAAGACTACGCATTTCATGGAAATAAAATAATGTCTATGAACGTGAAGTCGGAAGTCCGATTCAAACTCAAAACCAAACTCAAAACTCTAAGGTCACAAGAAAAATAATAAATTAAATAATAATAATAAAAAAGAATGCTGTAAAAAAGGAAAGAAAGAAAATGATCGGGTCATTACACAAACAATAAGAATGTTTGAGTTTAACTTAAGCTTGAATCAAATTCTCATAGGAGGCTTTTTACTTCGCTCATTTATGTTTGAGATAGCTCGAGTTTGAGTTGTCAACGACTCACCTTTCAACCCTCGTTTCAAAAAAATACGCCGCCTGGGGGCTTTACCCGGACTAACTAATAAAAGGCCTAGAGCCGGAAGCGATCTTAGAAACCAATCGCGTTTCGGTAAAAGATCTCAACATCGTATTCGTCTAGAAGAAAAACAAAAATTGCGTTTCATTATGGTCTTACAGAACGACAATTACTTAAAACATGCCTTACATGTTATAATTTTGGAAGAATTCTCACAATTTGTTATTGTTATAGTTAGTTTGAAGGAAGTCTCACACTCTAATTAACTAAAAGTTTAAAATGAATTTATGACCACAAATTTACTAGAGAAAGTTAAGAAAGATAAATAAAAAGAGAATGACGTGGGAAAAAAAAAAAAAAAAAAAAAAAGTGAAACGATTGTTGGTATAAGTTATTCTTTCACATTTTTTTATGGAAAGTGCAACACCCCTTGCAGCTAGGGTAATACGGGAACAGACCATGGACTTCAATTAAATTTATTTAGTATTTAAATTAAATAGTCATATAACTGTCTAATTATATATTTAATTTTGAAATATATAAATTAATATCTAATTATATAATATAATTAATATTTGAAAATCGTGGTCCATGAAAAGATTGCAATTGGCATATAAATTGGTGATTTAATGTGTCAAAAATATCTTTTCATAATTTGGAGGGGTATAAATTTTTTTTTTTATAATAAAATTAGTCCACCTAATTAAGCCGAAATCAACTCAACTACCATACTAATATAAATGCTAAAGTCAAATAAGTTCAGAACCGGCCCTGACCCGAGGCGACTAAGGGGGTGGGCCTCAAAATTTATCAACCGTGCGATACAATGCCAGAAGAGCTCACGGATAATGAATTCTAACCGTTAGATTTACTCTTATCGCTGACACCTGCTTGCCATATATATACCGATATACCACTTAACGATTCAAATTTTCTTTATTTTTTTTTTTTTTGAAAGTTAATTGACTACCCTGAACTGTTTTTTATTCTTGTTTATTTATATGTGAGATCAAGTAGTTCTATTCTATAAGATTGTCTTGGATTACTTGAACTACTTGATCTGGTGTAAGGTCAAACCTCAAATTTTGTTCTATTCTATAAGATTGTTTTGACTTTACAATCTTGTAGAATAGAACTGCTTGATCTCACATTTATTAAATAAGGCAGAAACAAAGAACAGTCAATTAACTTTATAAAAAAAAAATCAATTTTTAGTAAATGGGGCATAACGATCTTATAGAATAGATGTCAAACCCCGACATTATTCCAAATTGTGGGATAAGAAGAAAATAAATTAAAACTCATTGCACTTTGTCTAGCTAAGGGTCCATAATCACGCAATCATTGAGCAATAATATGTTAATAAGTGTACATATGTACAAAAGACGATGAATTTGACTTCCTCAATAATCTCATTTCTAACCCTTATAAAAGAGCATTGGCCTTCTTTTACTATCTAAAAAAAATTAGACACATAATCATCTTGTGTAAGGTCAAGGCACAATATTACTCTGCAAACAGTTCTGAAGACAAATAGATGATCATCAAAGCAACCAACATGCAACCTAATCAACACATTCAATAAGGAAATGCACACAACAATTTATCTAACATGGAAAATAATAATGCAATGTCAGGTAATGAAGTAGCGTATACAGTCTAACTTAAAGCAAGTTTTCAACATTTTAAAATTCACCCAGATATAGAACTACTTGATCTCACATACAACATATCAATAATGAGAAACAAGAATAGAAAACAGATTATAGGTACATATATATAACATATGAACCCTAACTCGGTAACCACATAACATATGAACCAGTAAAAAGAGCAAACCTAGATCTAGGATTTCGTTTCAGCCTCAAGGGAGAGATCTAACTACAAACGGTGAGAGAGACTAATCTGCTTCAAGCTGTCATCGGACTCCTTCGATGGCTCTGTGTCTTTAGCGCGAGAAAATGATGATCTAACTGTGTATTTCAATAACAAAGTACAATGCATCAGTTTAGGAATAATCTTCAAAATTAACAAATCAATATCCTAATATTCTGCATTCTAATAACAAAAGAAAATCAAAAACCAAAATCAATTGTTGTCAAAGTTCTTGTTATGATTTTCTTTTTTAGTTCTGAAAAGATTTTCCATCCTCAAAAAGCTTGGCATGTTGATAAAAATTGTTTCAGATTCAATCTCTACAGCTTTCTAATCCAATTCAGAATTTTTTTTTTTCATGCCCAGATTCAAATTTTCTTATAGACATAATTGACAACAACAAAAAACAAAAAAATATTTTAAAAAGATAATAAAAAAAATATTTTAAAAATATCATAAAAAGATCATAAACCAAATAAATAAGAACAAAATAAAAACAAAATGACGTTTCTTTTAAAATGCACAACAGAAAACGAAGAAGAAAACCTCAAAAATACACCAGCAAAGCCAAAAATTTCAACAAAATACTAGATTGGAAGGGAAGAGAACATGAACTAAAATCGGAACACCAAAACCGTAACCCTAGATTTTCATACGGAGCACAAGAGTGGCAAAACCATAACAAAAATTTAGCCGAACCAACAAAGCAAAATCAATCGATACAAAGACATAATAAGTCAAAGCCTTAATAATTATTAGACATTAAAATAAAAAGACGAACTAACCTCTCAGATTATGAACAGATATCTTCGCCTTCTCTCTCTCTATCTCTAAACAATAAAGAAAATTTGAATCGTTAAGTGGTATATCGGTATATATATGGCAAGCAGGTGTGTTTTAGGCCTCAGCTGCTGAGGATGAGGATGATGATGATGTGGATCTCTTTGGTGAAGAAAAGAAGGCTGCTGAGGAGCGTGCAGCTGCTCTGAAGGCATCTGGAAAAAAGAAAGAACGAGCACGGCATCGATTCGACGGGTCGAATACCAAGGTGATACGGACCTGCAACTGGAATGGGTCAATGTGTACTACAACAAAGCCAGCTGTGGCCGGTTCGTCCCACGCGCCGTCCTCATGGACCTCGAACCAGGCACCATGGACAACTATACTGAATCTTGTTTTTAATTGTCTGATGATTCTTGTGACAGAAATTGAAAGCTGGTTGGAGTTTTGCTTGAAATCGGTGCAGGAGAGGTTCATGCTAGTGAAGATTATGTTTACGCATGACTGATTTTAAGTCATAAATGTCCACTTTATTCCTATGTTTTCTTTCTCCAAGACTTTGGTATAAAGAGTAGCAGTTACACCATTTTGGATTCTTATCTAAATTAATGCTTTTTTTCCTTTACTAGGGTTCTGGATTTTCTTCAGGAGTCATATTCTTACAGTCATATTCTTACTTACTGTTGTATAGTTGGGAGATTGTGGGAGTGTGTAATATATATTATATGTGGGGTTTATATATAATGCAAGGTTATCTCATTATTCATGCCTTATTTTTAATATATTCAACATTCATCTATTTGGCTACTTTTTTTGTTCAATACTATTGGAGAAGTTGGATTCATTTTTTTGTTCAATGCTATTGGAGTCGATTGTACTTTTAAACAGTTGGATTCATTTTAGACGGTCGTTCATGTCTGCGCGGCACAGCAAATACCTGCTCGATCATACCGATCTCGGATTAGAGAGAGAGGAGAAGTGGGGAAGGATGCCAAAGAGGACGACACACACTACTCGAACGAGGACGCAAGACCAGATGGTCATGACTCTGATCTCTTCGTCTATTACTGCAAGCACTGTGGATCTCATGTCCTAATTACTGGTTTGCCTCTCTTTCTCTACTTTTCTCGATCCCAATTTGATCTTTTGCTAGCTCTAGAATGGTCTCAATCGAATTAGACATGCTCTATTATATCTATATATATCTATCTATATTTATAAATGCATTGTTACCTGTGTTAGAAAATTTTGGTTCAGATTAATTTTAGGTTCCGTTTTCTTCTTGTTTTCATCTTTAATTGTTGGGAAATGATATCAATGCCAGAATTATCCATAAATTTGTGTAGTTCCTTTTTAAATCGAATTAGTTTGTTCTGTAGCTGTGTGTATATGTAATTCTATTGGGTGTGGGTGGGGGATTTTGATTTTTTTTTTTTTTTTTTTTTTTTTTTTTTTTTTTTAAAAAAAACAAAAAAAAAAAGAAAAGCTGAAAGAGAGTATTTATTGTCATCTATATATTCTTCTCTATATTATTTTATCTTTATAGTCCATAGTTTTATACAAGGAACTACTGAACTCAATAACTTGTTGCCATTACCTAAAGGTCTATTCTGTAGAGGTACTCAAATTGGATTTCCTGGTTTCGTTGTAAACTTGATTGGTTAATTCCAGTTATGCAAATCAATAGTTCAAACTTCTGCAGGCACTCCCCCCTTTTTTTATAGGAACTATTGTATTAAATGTTGTCCCTTTGGGATGTAAAATATATCTCTTCTCACCATCCCTGCAGTGTGTGAGAAACGTATGCATTCTTCCCCTAATGCTAGACTGACAATATTTACTCCCCTACCATCCGCATAAGGGCTCCCAAGGTCCCCCTCCTCTTGTTAGGATCGATTGTTTGGCTTGAGCTTCAGTGGTTGACTTGCTTTCCATGTTCTAGCCTTCAAAGAATTCCGACGATGTTTGCCTAACACACAACTATCACAAATTTTATTGTCATGCAAAGGCAAACCAGAAAACTGGAGTCAAAATTTCAATCATGGGGTTAGTTGCTAGTTTACATGACATATCGAGACTGCTGACTGGTGAAATGCTGCCCGAAATCATATAGTTAATTAATGAACCTAGTCTAGGTTATTTATTGGTAATGTACTCCCTTTGATGTATTTTTATCATGGTGGACAAGAAAAACTAGGTTGCGCATGTTGCACCGTGCAACGGGCATATCCAACCGTACATTACACGTGCTCGCGCGTGTATTACACGCATGGTTTGGACCGTGCAACAGACGCAACCAAGTTTTTCTCATGGTGGAGACTTCTAGGGCTGCAAGTCCAGCCGCCATCATGCTGTAGGAGATTCTGATATGGGTGCTTAATTTCTTTATTCTCAGTTCTCTATTTTTTTATTTTTTTATTTTTTTATTTTTTTGGGCAAAAGAAACCCCATATGTCGAATAGGCGGTCCACTGCCTCTTCTTCTAAGGTACAAGGTCAAATTGCTGATCTATTGGGGATATAGTTGATTTTGTGAATTCTTTGGTAGTATAGTGGGCCCTCTCAGCCCTTGTTTTCACATTGTAATGTGCTTCCCTCTTGAGCACTTTTAATGAAATTCTATTTATAAAAAAAATATTTTGTCTTCCTGCTTAGGAAGAATAAGTACAGGAACCTTTTTCTTTTTTGGTTGGTGCTTTTAGAATGTTGGGAGAATAAAATAGGTTTGAACCCTATACTAAACTAGATAAATTTAACTAAAAGGCCATGTTACCAAAGAGATGAAAAAAGTAGCAAACAAACAGAAAAGGCTATGTAAAGCGCCATTAACCATCTATTTCCATCGTAAGCCCTTCTTATGTCAATTTGTGCTTTTATCTCTGATGTCCTTTATCTTTAATGAAGTGACAAAGTCAAATATGTTTTTGTGCATTACTTGGATGTATATTCTTTTTTTGATAGGTTACTTGTTTGTATATTCTTAAAGGTGATATCTAACTTTTTTTGTATTGGACTTTTTTTAAATGAAATTTCGCTGTTGATTTTTAGCGCGTAAGACCTTATTCTGTTGTAGAGTCTGTAAAATTATCAGCACATGTCATTCCATTGGAAATATAAAGTAGACAAATTATTTGCCTCTTTAATCTAATGCTCACTGTCTTGAAGCACAAAGTATAATATCCTTTTACTTGATCTGTATCGGATATCGATAGATCACTTGATTGTAGATATTGAATTCAACTACTTTTGATATCGGATATCGATAGATCACTTGATTGTAGATATTGAATTCAACTACTTTTGATATGGGCTCCTGCTGGAAAGAACTTCCCTGTTATATGTTATATTTAATTTCTGTTAAAGCATTCTTTATTGATGCAAGGAAACTTCCATGGTAAAATATATTTTCTGTAAGATACCCAATTGCAGAAAATGCCAAAAAGAAGACTGACAAAAGCATATGTATTGGACAAGAAGAAGCATCTTGCAAGGCTCAACATAAATGAGGGAGGAAAAGTTCTGTTGAAATGGTGATGACCCATTATACTTCAGAGCAAAGTTTTGTGTTCATTATCACATGGATTCTTTTTCGTATTTCTAATTCCATTTTTTAATGTATTCAAATATTACTTTCTATTAGAGCCTAAACATTGCTTTAAGAACATAATTTAGAAAAAAAAAAGAAAAAGAAGAGATATCAGAATAGATTTATTTCTAATTGTTAAGACATGACTCATAATTTTTTCCAAAACTGTTGTTATTTATTGGCCATTGTAATTGAACAACCTAGAAACCTTTAGTGTTCTCATGAGAAACCTAGAAACCTTTAGTGTTCTCATGAGAACTGCATTGAGGTGCATGTGTAAGGTTATTTTTACTACTAGCCTTGCCTTTGTTTTAGTGACACAATTTTGGGTCCAGTCCATCTGTTAAAAGTATTTGATTGTCATTAAATCTCAAAATCTGGGAGTCAATGCCAATTTGATAGCCAATAGTAGAGGAGGATGCCATTTCTATTACTGTTGCAATGAGGTGTCGCATTAGTGTCATATGATGCAATTGTTACCGAAAAGGTTACTCCACTATATTCATAATAATCAACTTTAAATCACTAGCCTATCTAGAGGCTACCTCCATTTAGGTTTAACCACAAACTAGAACCACAACTTTTTCAATTGACCGTGGAGTCCTGTAGCAATAGAGGAAAATTTATCTCTGAAGCACTTGCTAGTTTAGAGTCTTTAGTATTTAGATGTGTCTGCTGCTTCCTTACTGATGCATGTGTTTCTATAATTTCTGCTACGTATAATGATGCACTGTGAACCTCGACTCCGCTGCTTTAATCTATCTCAGTGGCTGTGCATTGTGATTGTGGCTGCAATGAAAGGTGGATACGCATTAGCCACTTGTCTGGCCAAGTTAGCTTTAATGTTACATGATGATTACTTTTAGTTTTGCTTTTAAGTTGCATGATAACTAAATTGTATTTCAAACATAGTAAGTTCTAAATTGGGTTGGAAAGGGAATATTTTAGAGACGACAACAGGGGAAAAATGCAGTATTCTTTACTCGGTTATGAGTAATCACCTGCACTAAATACTTGTACTTCTTAATTTCTTTGTTGTGCTACCATTTAGGCTGGTCTATTTTATGAGTTTGAGTCTCACATACCTTACTGTGAATCCTCCTTATCCAGTGGTGAAGGGAAACTGGAGAAGCAATTCCGTATGAACTGCATGGGATGTGGGCTGCTTGTCTGCTACCGTGCGGAAGAAGATCTTGAATTTGCCTCTTTCATATATGTCGTTGATGGTGACCTTAGTACGATTGCTGCTGAAACTAATCCTCAGGTAAAGACTTTGCTGTGTGTGTTGATGACACTTTTTTTTCTTTTCTTTTTATGGGTACCCATTTCTATTTGGGACCCAGATCCTCAACCTTCCATTTGGAAAGAGTAGTATACACCATTTAGGCTATAAGGCGTTAAGCCCTTGATGGTGTCTATTTCTGATTTACTATATCCTGTTCCCAAATCATCATGCAATCAAGAATCATACATAGTAATGCTTTCTCAGTCTTTCATTCCTGAACATCTGAATATGTACTCCAGAAACACGATAATCGTTCTGAAATATATTGTAGGATGCTCCTGTCCCACCATGCATATCACAGCTAGAAGGAGGGCTTGTTCATGTGGCAATAGAAGTAGAAGACCGTGCACAATGCTCAGCAATCACAAGTAAACCAATTGTTCAATCTCTCCTCATTTTATATTTTCTTATATGCTTTCAGTTTTGTAGCACATTCTTGATCAATAAATCAAATAATAAATATATAATTTTTGAATAATTTGGCAATTATACCAAATTGCGTGCATCCTTTAAATGTGCTTTCATTATTATAGTGCATAAAAAGTGAAGGTTTGAATAAAGAAAACCTAGGTTCAAAGTGCGTACATCAGGATTTTGATCATTTGTTATTTCCATCTTTGAAATCTACACTATTTGCTGTAGTAAAATATTTCTTTGAGCACCAAATGAAGATTGGAAATGAAATAAAGGAGTATGAAGATGACTTTGATCATGTGAGTGTACATTTGGGCATCAAGCATCAGGAGTTGGTGATTATAATGACTTCAAACTTTTCTACCCTCACTGATTATTTAAACACGTGGCACTGATACTTTCTCAGTGTAGAAGCAAATATAAACATGGATCACACACACACACACACACACACACACACACACACACACACACACACACACACATTTGTGATGCTAATAATTTGCGTAAACCATGCCTTTCATGCTGCTCGAAGTAAAGCCAAAAGGGAGTGCGGTGTTTGCTTCAATTGTTTATCCTTGCAGAACACCTTCCATTATATCCTCTCTTTTAGATATATTTGTTTTTTATTTTTATGCTACAACTTGAT